GAAGCCCCCGGCTGTTCAAAAAAAAAAAAAAAATGGGGGAGGGGGTTCTGTTGCACTGGAGGGAGAGAGAGAGAGGGAGAGAAAATTTCTGATTTTAAAAACAAACTTCGAGAAAATTACAATTTTGCCACTAAGTCTATTTTGATCTTATCTTTTTCGTTACAGCTCCAATTCGAGCCCACTACGTGTCTACGAACTCATCTCGGTATGATCTACGTAAAATTACCACTCACTACCCCCAAATCCTTCCGAATTAAAAAGTGACCAATTCACCCCTACCCCGTGGGCAAAATTGGAAATTCACATTTAAATTAATTAAATAATTAAATGGATAATAAAACTAGGGTCGGGGTGTTACATAAACTGCACATACATTTAGTTAACCTTGTATGATTTTTTAGAATATTAATAAAAACAAAATCTCAAATTTAAGGTCATTACATTCTACCCTCCTTAAAAGGATGAAATTCAACCACGTTCGGATACCACAAACATTCCAAATTCAGCCACACTTGACTTCAACCAGTATGAGCCTCCCTTGATTCCAATTTCAACTTTGAAATCCAGTCAAAACTCACGATTAAAATCATCCTCTTTTGATGTTATAATCACCACCAACCAACCAGATAACAACATATGATGGCAATAAGTCCACAAAACTTCATTTTATTTTCAAACATGTACAACCAACATTAATTGAAAATAAAAACAACCTTAAAAAGTACAATCCTCACAAAACCACACTTAAACATTTTTGTCTCCTTCCAAGAGACTAGACAAAGTAGAGTTTGAACTCCCTCTGCTTCATCCTCCGCTTCAGAAGGCCTTCAACCTTCAGCCTCCACCACATGTATAATTGGATTTGGTCCCTGCACCTCAACAATGACCTTAACAAGTCTTGAACTCTGGTCTTTTGCCCTCGGTTCCGCATTTGTCACACCACGAGCTTTCTTACTCATTTGTCCTAATAAGTGCTCAAAGAATGCTTGTTTGGCAATCTCATCCATTTTGTCTTATTCCTCTCGGACCTCTACCTCGTCCAACTGTTGCTGCATTTCTTTGGACTACAAGTCTACCATCCTTAATAGTGCATCCTTCTCCTTATGTGACCTGCAACTTTGTGCAGCAACAACAATAAGACCACCTTTTTTCTCGTCTTTCAGGTGCTTGATGACCTTGTGACCCTCATGTAGAAAAGCCCTCAGCCTAAACACTTTATGAGCATTCCTTTCATGCTCCTTCATTAATTAGTCTCTCAGTAAGTGAGCCTCCAGAAAAGCCTGATCACGCTCCTTTGTCACTTCCTAATGGTCCTTGAGCAATGCGTGACAGCCCTGGAGCCCATTTATCATATTACCCGAGTGAAGTATCAATTCCTGCACTTCTTGGTTCTTTGCCAACAGTCATTGCCCCAATTTTTGCAATAGACGCTGCACATTGGACGCTTAAAGCCATCGTGTCATCTGCAATAGTATACTCATCCTTCTTTCCCAATGTCCTCAGATCTCTAGGAGTCAGTAGACCCCTTGACACTGCGGCAGCTACATTATTATCCTATAATTATAATTGATTGAGGGGAAATATTTAAAAGATACCATTTTAGTTGTCTATATGAGTTGGTGATTATAATTGATTGGCCCAGGTTGGTGCCCTTCAAGATGTTCGCTCTGAGTTGACAAAGTTGCGAGGACTTCTGTTTTATAAAGTGCTAGAGGATTTGCATGCTCATCTTTACAAGGAGGGTGAATATAGGTATGTAGAGTTCCTTTCTTGTGGGGTACTTTCTTATACCTTAGCATCACTTTAGAAATAGTAGTTTTAAGGAAAAAAAAGAGGAAACATTTTCTGTTTGTTGCTGTTACATGCTACTTTTTAAGTTTTTCGGGTTTAGCATATACGTAATTTTGGTTAACCAATAGAGAAAAAGGAAAAAGAAAAAAGAAAAGAAAAGAAACTAATTAAGTTCTTTTACCTTTTAGTGGTTTACTTATTAAATGGAAATGAACAAGAAAAGAAGAGAAAAGGTGGAGAAATAACTCTAAGTTTTCCTGTCAAACTCTCTCTTCTAAATTGATGAGATTTGAAAAGAAAGTTGATCTATACGAACAGTGGTTGCCATAATTGTAGTTTCTCTTTCTCTTCTTCGCATAACAAAAAACAAAGAAGAATATTAAAACCTTATGTGTCATTTATTTTCTCAAGTGAAAAGTGAACCACGTCTCGAAGAACCACGTTGTTAAAAGGAGACAATCAATTTGGTACTCATGGTGATGTATCATATAGGACAGGTTCTAATGACGGAGGGTAAGATTAGAAAATTATCTGAAACAACTTGAAGCTGCTACTATCTTTATTGTTGCATGATGGGTTTTCGTTCAACCAAAAATTTGATTGATCAAATTGTCTTCGTTTCAAAATTATATAACATGGTAATTTGTGGATTTCTTTTTGTTCATACTCTCTTCTAGAATCGACATATGTTCCCAAGTCTCAAATTCTTACTCGACATTTTTTCGATAATATAGTAAAAAAGGATTGACATATCTCCCATCATGATAATATAGTAAAGGGTTAATTTCAGTTCGGTGTCCTGTAGTTGTACCGAGAAGGCGTGTGTTGTCCCTATATTTTTAATTTTGACAATGAGGTACCCTAACGTTGAAAATTTGTTGCAATGTGTTTGAATTGTTAGCTTCGCCGTCAAAAATTCTGTTAAGTGATCCTAAACCCCTCTACTTTCTCTCTCTTTAATAAAAGACTTATTTATAATTGAGCTAAATCTCAAGGGCGGACTGGTAATTAACTGTCTACCATTCTATATTTCAATCGCCCATTCGACAGAATCAGTGTCATCCCCAAACCCTAGATCTATCGTCTCTTATATATTATACATTCTTCCTCTCAACCCAATCCTAAAATAAAGTATTTTTCTCTCCCCCACCCAAATACAAACTCTGCTGCAACGTCAATTACCTCTTCCCTTCTCCTCATATTGAATACATCATACATACCCATTCGATTTGGAGAGATTATATAAAATTTGTGATGGCGGCCCAGCGTAAGAACCCGCAGATTGAGAATGTTGTGATGATGCTTCCCTCGAGCATTCGCTGCACCTGTTGTAGCACTGTCATGGCCAAAGGCACCGAGTTCAATTCCCGCAAAGAAGAAACCATCGGCGAGGTACTTACTTGGGTTTTAATCTTAATCTTGTTTGGGTTTTCAATCTTTAATTGCCCAGTTCATCTCTCGTTTTGCTTTCTCTTAATCCTAGTTCTAGGGTTTGTTTATTTTTGTTGATGGTGGATGCAGACTCTAGTTTTTGAGAGCTTTGGTGTTTTCTATTTCCTGAGGTTTAAATTTCATGCGATACACAGTAAGTTGGGTTGGGTTACTTACTAATTGTTGTGTCGTTTACAGGAGGTTTGGAAGGATCACACATTCAGATTTTGTTTCAATTGTACCCAGTGCTCAGCCGAGATCGTCATAAGGACAGACCCACAATGTTCACACCTTGCTGTTGAGGCCGGTGCTTTGAAATTTTATAGTCGTGATTTTATCCCTTGGCTTCCCCCTAGGGTTGAGGAGGTAAAAGAAAGGAACTAAAGATTCTGCCTATATACGTGTATATATGCATGCTTCATGTTTTTCTATCTTTATATTGCCTTTTACTGTTATCACATTGCTTAATTAATTACTCAATTCAAACTTCCTTTGCAGAAAGAGAAGTTGGTTCCTTGCACGGGCCCAAACTGGCAAGAGAAAAGAGAGGAGTTCTTAGTTAACAGGGTATATGCCTTTGTACTTGTTATCAGATTTTCAGATTCCTTTACCGTCTGTAATCACTTTGCTGCTTCTTAAATAATGACTCAAATCATATATGCTTATTTCCATTTCAGTTACAACAAATTATAGATAAGCATAATCAGAAAAGGAAGATTGAAGAAGTGGGAGACGCCATGAAATCTTTGGATTTCAAAAGATAGATGGACAACCCTGCTGCTGTGGATGTGATTAAGTGTGTGAAGGTAAATTCCTGTGTATTGGTAATCCATTGACAAGTTCATCGCGTTTGATTTCTTGTAACCTGGACATATGCGTATAGTATGCGTAGCGGCTTTGATAATGCATGTATTTTTGGAACTGATGTATTTCCTTTTTGTTATTAAGTAATATTTTAGCCTTTTTTTAATTACTTTAATTAGTAATTATGTTTTAAATATTATTTTTTAGTGAATAATTAGTATTTAAATATTTTATTAATTTCATAAATTACTTAATAAATAGTAATTAATTATTTTAAATTATGTTGTGGACTTTGTTATTTATTTTTTATTATTATACAGAATTAGTTTGTTTAGTTTAATTAAATAATATCTAATCCTCATTTAATTATATTAATTATTCTTTATTTAATGAAAGAATGAGTATTTAAATATTTTAATTAATTTCTTAAATTACTTAATAAATATTACTTATCTTAAATAATTTTTTGGACTTTAAAATTATTTTTAATTTCCGAATATATTTTAAAAATAGTTTCAATTATTAAAAAATTATTTTAGTATTCCAAAAATGAATTTGAGCCTCAAAAAAATTAAAATTCTATTGCAATCTTTCGTAAATTGGTGTGATTGTTTGTAAAATTGTGATAGTTAATTACATATTATTTTTTATTAACTTTTTGCAATTATATTTATTCCATTTGCTTTAGTTTTGGTTTTAAAAAGCAAAAAGTCTTAGTTCAACGAAGTATCCTTCCATCATTTGCTTTAGTTAGTTTTGTGTTGAAAGCTAATTGTTATGTCTTGGATTGAAACAGTAGTAGCGATGCCCTTTATTTTCAGTTGGGACTAATTTGTGCTGGAAAGAGTTGAGTTGTACAGGTCTTCCGAGGTGAAATCTCAATATGGGAATTATTGATGGATTGCCTGTGTCTCCAGACAAGGAGTTGTACAGCTCTTCTGTACTTGTTAATGACTATTTTTGTGGTTGTGTGCACCGGATATGGAGCTCATATTCCCATTTTTCGCGTTTGTATTACCTGTTGGAATTGAAATATTGTTTTCTCCTCCCATAACAAAGATGATACACAACAACATGCATGTGCTTACTTTTAGGAAAAAGTTTATGAGAATTCACGTATTGATATTTCTACTAATCAAAAAAAGACACTACTATAAAAACACAAAATAGACGACGGTGATCCACCGTCGTTAAATCAACCGCCATCTTTTGGAGTATTAAACTACAAAGGCTTTTCACCGTTGTTGTTTATATATAAAGACGATGGTTTTTAGTAAAACCGTCGTTGTTTTGATATATAGACGACGGTTTGCGACAAAAAAATCGTCGTTGTTTAGAGGTAACGACAACGTTTTTGTTAAAACCGTCATTAATTGTAAGCAATTCCATAATTGGAAAACGAAGTACACTTAAAAACAAACGTCCACCAACTTCCTATAATAATCATAGTTGAGTCCCAAGACTCACTTTCACAACCAATCATTCCAGTATCCCAAAATCATAAATTCCAAAATTTCAAATATTGCATAAACTTCAAATAACAATATAACATTTGATAACCCCACAATTAAAAAAATAAAATAATCTCTAATCCCAACATAAACAAAATAATTCAAATAACAATCAAGACTTGTTTATAAGATCATTCTAGTATTTTTCGAAGGGTGAAACTATCTCGCAAGACTCACGGACAACTAAGGGGTCAAACTTCCCATATTGGTCAACGAGGCCCGCGAATCCCACGACCTCAGATTTTTTATCCGAAAGTTCCTATGGGTTCAACAAAGTCTACTAAGCACATTCTCCAAGTTTGGTCTCGATCACACGATCGAACAATCCTTGATTTACCTAACTCTAGAATCATTGTTTCCGAGTATCCGGGACTCCGATTCTGGATTCATAAGTTCCTACACAATCTTAGAGGTACAGAGAACAACATAGTTGGAATTGGTGCCGATCCAACAGTCCGAACATATCAAACCCGGATATCGCCTAATATGCGTAAATTCATTCCACTGTCATACGATAACCAAATTCGAATCTGAGCATACCGTCGCACTCGGGACGACATGGGGATCAAATCAGAACACAATGGGCCACCGCCCCATGGCCCACGCGCCGCCACAAGCGTCGGCAAGGCATGGGTGGCTTGAGAAAATTCCGGCGATAGAAATTTTTTGAAACACCTACGATACATATACCAATACGTTCAGACTAACAAGGAGAGTAATTTTTTTTTTCTTGGACCACGGCCAAAAACTAATTGAAACTAGCTTGAAAGAAGTCAAAACTGTTGGCATAATTGGGGATTAGAAATCGATCTCCAAAACCTCAAAATTAAACCAAACCTAGCACATAAATAGGTAAAGCACGAAGAGTAGATGAAATTTCATACCTGGTTGGATGATTTTGGTCGCCAGAATCATCGAAAATCGCACGAACACTGCCGGCGACGAAACATGGGTTTTGGCTAGGTTTCAGTCCAAAATTGCCACCAATCTTTTGGTTTCGAAGGTGGAAATGGCTATGGATGCGTAGAGGAGGAAGAGACGATTCCGTTGCAACAAGAATCGTTGGATTTGGTCGCCGGACGGAGGAGAAAATGCCAGCCGAAGTGGCCGGTCTATTTTCGTGAAGAAGACAGCACACACGGAGAGAGAGCTGATCTGGTTAAAACTCCGATTTGGGCCCACTACGTGTCTATTTTTCCCAATAATAATAATTTCCAATTCCTTTTTATTTTTATTTTTAGCTGAAATTAGATTACAGAAAACCAAATGACAACACTCAAACCAAAATATCCATCACCCAATTCTTAGCTGAAATCACAATCATAGCTGAAAAAATCCGAGTCAAGACCCATATTTATATATATCATCCTTCTATAAGAGTTGAAACTTTAACCAAATAATTCAAACCAAGAAACCAAAAGAAAAAATTCCAGACACTGTCCAGTTACATATGGAGGAAACAAATGTTCTTCAAACACTAAACCAAAGACAAAGACAACATATTCTAGGCCAACATCGTTGGAACACTTGAAGGTTCGGATTGACGGCGTTGACGTCGTTGTCAGTTGGGCTTCAACGTGGCTGTCAAAGAGACAATCAGTGTGAACATCATTGATGTCAGCATCGGTTGGCTTCGCATAGAAAAAATCCTAATCTAAAAAGGATTTCAATAGAAGATTGAGAGATGTAAGGCTCGAGTTGAGTTCAAAACAAATGAACTGAACCCACCCTATGATGAATTCAGGCTAACTTAGGTAAGGCTCGAGTTGCCTAGCTTTATTGGGTTGAGCTAGGTTGGGTTCAACCCGCAAACTCACCTACAGCTCAACCCAACACCAACCCATTTTACAAAGGATAATATGTTGATTCATCTATATATATAAAATGATGAAACATTCAAAAAATTAAAAATGACCCTTACTTAATGAATTTATTAAAAAAATGTAACAAAATAAATAAAATATAGCAATAGAGAATGCTCTAAAGTACAACTTCGTTTCCTCAAGTGAAAAAACAAATGAAATATAGGAGAGTTCTAGGGACAACTTTATTTGCTTGAGTAACAAATAAAATTGCATCTCTGGGCTAAAATTTCGGTGAATTTGGCTCGAAAGAATTAAAATACCCTCTACATGAGAGCATGTGGTCAAAATTAAATGAAGTTGGGAGGAGCTAAATTGACTAAATTAAAAACTACACGAATAAAATTAATGAAATTGATACTATGGTGACCAAATTTGCTTGAGTAACAAATAAAACAAAATAAAATATAATCATAGAGAATGCTCTAAAGTACAACTTCGTTTTATTAAGTGAAAAATAGAACAAAATAAAATGCTCTCGTTGAGAGTCAAACAAATTGAACAAAATAAAGTGCTCTCATTGAGAGTCGAACTCAAGACCTCGTTGAGAGTCAAACAAATTGAACAAAATAAAGTGCTCTCATTGAGAGTCGAACTCAAGACCTCCCGCTTACTAAACGGGTGCTCTAACCAACTGAGCTATGAGAGCTTATTGGTTGACCTCAAACAATAAATTATTTTTATTCTGTTTCTTCTTCTTCGTTATCCTCTACAGTGCCGAACAATGTTTGGCATAGGAATTACCACAGCCGATCTCTTTCCTTACCTCCTTATGAAGCCTCTCCACGTACTCAACAGGCAGTGAAACCAAAGCCAAAACCCCTTCAACACCCTCCTCATTTTTGTGCCCAACAACTGAAGAGAAGCCTCGTGGTGGACTGAGGGCTCATTAGGGTTCTAGTCCTTGCCCTCCCAATTTGAGATCAAAATCATATTTTTTGTAGAGAATGTAAGGGGGAAGGGGGGAAGAACAAAGGCTTGGCTTACACGTTGCCTTTATTTATTTATTATTATTTTTTTATAACTCATAATTAAGTTAAATAAATATCTTTTATTAATATCTTTTTTTTTTAATCTTCTCTTTTTTTTTTCCCCAGATGTTACATCATAATAAGTAAATCACAATTTATATTATTGTATAATAGGAAATTATTAGGTAAATTATATCCAAAATTCGTTTATAAAAGTTGGGTATATTATTTGAATAATAAGTAAATTCATACTAGATACATTTATTTTTCGTAAAAGAAGTAATAGATACGTTATTTTCAACATAAAATTGTATGTATGCTATTATATTTATAAAACAATAATATAATAGATAATTAATCACGTATAATTAATATAAAACAATAATATAATAGATAATTAATTCCTACATCCATTTGGAGATCTTTCCAAATTCAATGTGTACTGTCATTAGTTATAATTCAATTTAAATTTGTTTCTATATTGGTTCCCACATTAGTATACAAAATACAATAACGATTTAGTTAGCGGTATTTTATGAATTGAAAAAGTACAATAAATTTGCTTGAGTAACAAATAAGACAAGATAAAATATAGAGTGCTGCTAAACGAACCCTAAAATTAATTGAGTACAACCTACTATCAAACTATTTATTGAATTACTAATTTACCCCAATATAAAATGACAAAAAAGGATATATTGAATTGTGTACCCCAAGATGTACACCATCCTTAAGACTTGACGCATGTCCATTGTTATAACTATGGTCAACTCTTTAATTTTAATTTTTTCAAGTATTTAAAACCAAAAAATAAAATAAAATTTTAAAAAGAAAAAAAAAGCTCTCTCTCCTTCCCGACCCCCCCCACTCTGAGACGAGTTGAGATATGCTGTCCCCAAATTCCCAAACTACCAAATCTCCCTAAAATAGATAGAAAACCCACACCTCTCTCGAAAGATTGAAGACAATATATTTAATTAAGAATAAAAATCTTTGTTTTACTGCTTGAGCTTTTGAACCCATGCCTTCAAACAAATTGACTTAATTTTTAACATACAACTCGGAATCCAGGAGAAGTGTATTAATCCCAGTTGATTTTTGTATGCATAAAACTTAAACAATCA